GCAAGAGAAAACCCACAAACTGGTCGAAGAAGCAGCAAAGACAGGACTCCAGTTGAACATAGACAACACGGAGGTTATGAAAATAGCCAACCAACAACAACAACAACAACAACAGCAACAACATCCAACGCCAATCGCTATCAACGGGAGGGATTTGAAAGAGATTACTTCATTCACACACTTATCTAGGGACCATTGTCTCAACTACAGGCAGTCGGGAGTGACGAGGATGTCAAATCGAGCGAGAATCGGGAAGGCGAGAAACACATTCATACACCTGAAACCAATCTGGAAATCTTCCGCTGTCACTCAGCCTGCATCAACAACAAAGTGATTCGGATTTTCAATACAAACGTCAAGTCAGTCAGTTCTTCTATACGGATGGATCAGAAACTTGGCGGGGGTCACAGAGAATATTTCCAACAGCCTGTTGCAGATCTTTATCAACAACAACTGTCTTCGCTGGCTCTATACTGAAGATCAGATGGCCGGAAAAAACAAGAACCAACAAGAAACTATGGGAACAAGCAAACAAAACAAGAACCAATCGCTGAACAAATATGCAGGAGAAAGTGGAGATGGATTGGAAACTCGCTGATGAGGCCACTGGGTGACATCGCGCGTCAGGCCAGTGCTCGATTGGAACCCGAAAGGGAATCGGCGAGTGTGACATCAGTGCAAGGGTGACATGGAGAAGATCGTGTGAAGAGGAGTTGAAACAGTATGGATTAACATGGATGCAGGTGACAAGTACAGCAGAAGACAGAAGCAAGTGGATGCGTGCAGTTGAAGCTCTATGTTCCACTAGGAACCCAAGGGAACAATAATAAATAATAATTCATTTCTTGCCGTTTTTCAGATCCTGAAAACATCAATAGGCCTCATCGGACTATCATTTCTTCCATAAATTCAAGTCCACTGTAGTGAAATTACGTCTCCACCATCTACTATTTTTATGTTTACTCCTCCGAAGTAAGGTACTTCAAACTGTTACACTTTTGGGCAAATTTTTATATTAGTCATGATTAATCCTCATTGAGTAAATAGTCCACAGTAAATAAAAGCAACTAGAAATGGGTTAAAAGCTGTATCATTCTAATTTGTGAGTGTATTTGATTAGCGGAGACATGTTAGGGCTTAGGTACTCAGATCTACAGGAGCGAGAAATATGGTATCTGAATGATGAATTTATCAGTAAGTCTATATTCATAAAAAATAAAATAATTTCTACTTACGTGTTTTCGATAATGCCTATTATTATTATTATTGTTACCTTTAATTCCTAGAGGAACATAGGGCTTCAGCCGTGCAACCCCAATGCGTTCCGTTCTCTGCTAGAGTCTTCACCTGGCTCCAAGTCTGCCCACACGCTTTCATCTCCTCTTCACATCACCTCCTCCAAGTCACCCCACCCTCGCACTGACGACCAACTCGCCGATTCCTTTTCGGGTTCCCCTCGAGCGATGGCTTGTGTAGTGATGTCACTTGATGGTTTCTTCAGAGTATGGCCAGCCAATCCATCTCCCTCCATTTCCTTCTGCCTATTTGTTTCACAGTCGGTTCCTGCTGCACTGATTCGCTTCCAGAAATCCCATCCTGTTGCTGAACTTTTCTGACCGGCCATTTGATCTTGAGTGGTATTGAGCGAGGACAACTGTTGATGAAGGTCTGTTGTTTGTTTGAGATGCTCTTTATGACGCGCTGGCCAAGTCTCTGATCCGTATAGTAGCACTTACTTCACATTGGAGTTGAGAATCCGGATCTTTTGATCTTTTTGATGCTGAGTGGTGTTGACCTGCACACAGACTTGAGAGTAGTGAAAGCTTGTCTTGCTTTCCCGATCCTTGCTTTGATATCCTCGTCAGTTCCGTCGGCCTGTAGTTGAAACGATGCATCCCAGGTAGGTGGTAGATGAGGTTGTTTTTTTCAGGTTCCTTCCATTTATGCTGATCGTTGTCCGTTGTTGTTGTTGCTGGTGGTGGTGTTTTCTGTTGACCAGGAATCTTCATCACCTCTGTTTTCTCTATGTTCACCTGGAGGATGTACTATCTTTGATGCTTCTTCTGCCAACTTGTTACTTTTCGCTTGCATATCTTCCAGTTTGTGGGAAATCAGACATATATCATCATTGGCGAAGTCCAGATCCTAGGGATGAGTGAATTTCTTGAAACTTCTTAACTAAATACATAAACGACTATTATTCTTATTTTTTGAGTTGGATTTCATGTGCTAGTTAATTGATTTTGTAAAAATGATGCATTGAGACGAAAATTACTTTGACAGACATATACTGATTTTCAAAATTTGTTTAAGTTATTTTCGTCTCAATGAATATTTATCTTAAATCAAGAAATTTTCACAGTGAAAACGCCATCGAAAAATATTCAGTTTACCAGTGATGAATTTCACCCACTCATAGCCAAAGAGATTTTCCTCTTGTGAATATAAACTTATTTATAAACCTAATATACAGGATACCTTGATGCCTTCAAGGTGAGCACATCTGCGTGTGTTTATAAAACACTATGCAATTATGGTACTTAGTTGTAGTTGAAAAAATCCTTCAAAATCTTATTCAAAGCAGTTAGAGTACAACACTGGAGCAGAGAAGATGTTTTTTGACGATGGCTTGCTTGTATCATTTGGCTACTCCAGTTTCCATCCAAGCCAATACGTCCACTATACTTTCCCTAATTCTTATTGCAAAAATGTTCATTCAGACATCTACAGAAACAAAATAATCGAGCAAAGAATATTCTTTTCGATAAATTCCTCTTCCAGGCTCTACAGTTATATATATATGTTTTTATACACAGAATATTTTAAATTATTAGTTAATAACAATATTAGTGTTGTTTTTAAAATAATATCGATTTGTAAAGTATGATCAATGCTATTGCAGTTCATTAAAGATGCTTAAATTATAATAATAATAAAGATATAGTAGCAAATAGAATATCAACTAAAATTAGGGAAATTTCACGAAAATTCTGGATTATTCAAACCTGGATGGCCAAGGTAATGATAATGACTGGACTAACTTCTTTTGTGTGCACAGATTAGGCTTATTAATATGAATCCCCACAGCCTCAGCAATTCTTATTGTTTTAAACATTTAATTATTGTTCGCAATTAATAGTGTTCTCTGAGCTGGTTATCTTTTCATAGCTGACTTGTATTCGTGGATTCTGATTCGAAGGGGACGCCCACTTCGACCACCGATGTAATGCCTGTTACAGTTCATACAGGCAATTTATTTTGCGAATGGTATTAATTTTATCTCCTTTTTCTGTTGGATCTTTCGGTTTGCACAATATCGAATGAAGTGATTGTGCTGGCTGGCTTGTGTGGTATGTCTATTTCAAACGGTTTCAATATTCTAGCTGTTATTTCAGAGATATTTTTGCTTATATATGGTAGGATGAATTTTCTTGTGTTCTTTGATGATGGTTCCTTGTTGGTGTTTTGAGTTTAAACAGCTTTTGATGAGATTTTGTGGATAACCATTCTTTTTGAAGACCGTTTGTAGGTACTTTTCTTCCAATGTTTTCAACGCTGGATTAGTGTTACAGTGTGGTTGAATTCTTTTAAACAATGTCTGCACACAGTTTTGTTTGTGAGTCACAAAATATACTCGTGCGCATTTTTAATGGGTTTTCAAACTACCGAGGTGTATTTTTTTGGAGACAAGGGAATCATATCATAAGGTACTAGTTGGCGCTTCAGATTGAATAATACAGTTTGACAAGATGTACCACAGATTGCTCTATTTGACTTGAAAATTCTGAAAAAAGAGGAAATCTGACGTAATAAATCGCGATGATATTTCTGTATATTGTGTAGACACATTATGTTCAGAATAAAGCTGTTATTACTATGATTAGCTGTCAGAAAATTCAAGGCGTCACTGTGTATCTGAAGAAACACGCTGAACCTTTATGCTTACTATGGTCATAACAAGGAGACTACTTTCTTGAAAAAATCATAATCTTTTAATTATGTCCTCTATCTGTACCTTTTGTTTGTTTTCTTATTGTATAATTCTCATTTGTGATATGTAACTTTATCGTGTTATGCGTAATTATTTTAACCTCTGATCGGAAATAGTCCTGGAACATTCTAACGGTGTTACGCACATACACGGATGTAAAACCTCTGTTTGTTGATTACTTCGTCGAAAAGAGAAACTTGTTTTCTCTGAGACTACTTTTATTGTTTTCCTGAAGTATAATGGGAGTATTCCCCGTTTTAAACATTACCCGATTCAAACTAGTGAATATTATGCAGGCTAAAACTTGGTACATTATGGACATCGAGAAATGCACCACACAAATTGCTTCATAGTGTTTGCCAGGGCTAAGTTACTGCCCAGACTACCACACCAGAACAGATGGTTGTCTTAAGGGACTACCCATGAGCTTTCGAACTGCAGTCTAATTCACAAGTCAGAGGAGCAGCGTCATGGTCTCCGGTAACCGGAACAGATTCATACACCGGACACCATAGGTTTTGTGTCAGGGTTTTCCAGTGCCCCAAGGTAGGCCAGGATGTCTATCAGTCCGGTTGTAAACCCCAGACTTTTGAATTCGCTCTTCTGCTTTTGCGAGGAAAATCCTAATAGTTTGAATGAAGCGAATAGGGCTTATCTGACAGAGGCTATGATCATAGGGCCATAAGAGAGAATTCCGAGAAGAAGACCGAAGTTTATCCACTCTCAGTCGTACCAAATCGTCTGTGGGATAGTTACTAGCAAGCAAAAGCTAGAATTCATGTGCGATTGGTTTCCTTCCTAATGGCTAATTGGCCTACAGACTTGTGTCGTTGTGGCTTGAAGGTTGTGGATTCTATCCTTGGTCTGGACTTGGATAGAAACTGCATACTAGGAAGAAATGAAAGTTCAGTACTGTCTGGTTTGTAATGGTTCTTTAGTTGATTTTTTTCTGTCTGATACATTTATTTGAACATCTGTTGTTACTTTTGTATCTATCGAAAACTTTTAGGGTTTGTATAGTGAAGTATTGGGTCCAACTTTACCTACACTTATGCATAATACACGCTCAGATTATGAACATATTGGTATGGCATTGTCAACTAGAGCTATTGGTTTGCTATTTGGATCATTATTCGGTGGAATATTATCTGATCGTTTCAAGGGACTACGTGGAGTATTCATAATGTTATCTCTGACAGTTGGTGCTATTTCAACAATCATTGTACCATGGTGTAGAGATATAATCGCTTTGACACTGGTTCTCTTTGTAGCTGGTATATCACACGGGTTTCTTACAACAAGTAAGTAATTTTCCGCTAATGATGATGTTATCATTAATTATTATTTCGTTTGATTTCTTTGAGTCCAGAGTGGAATATATAGGAGGCCTTCAGGCTTCTGTTTTGAAGTTTCACTGACTATTTTGTTTCTTTTTACGGGGTTGGTTCACTAGCCTCATGCCTAACTTTCCTTCTGTTTACTGGGCTTAAAACCGGAAAAGCGAGGTTAAGAAGTGTGTTGGCTGGGGATCGAGCCCCGGACCACGACAGGCGTGGTTGGTGAGTATTCTATTGTTGTTTATGTCTTCAGTGTATCTTTTGCCAACTACTCAAAATCTGAATAATGAAAGCCAATAGTTTTATTATTACAATTTTACCATAATTCAGTTCACTTGGGAGCCTAAATATGGAACAATAATTAGCAATGCTCGTGGTGTACACAGATGCATTGAAGAGCTAAGTTAATAACACATAAAAATTACTCCTTTATTATTATTATTGTTCCTTTGGGTTCCTAGTGTAACATAGGGCTTCAGCTGTACGTCTCCACTTGCTTCTGTCTTCTGCTGTACTTTTCACCTGCATCCATGTTAGTCCATACTGTTTCAATTCTTCTTCACATGATCTCCTCCATGTCACCCTTGCACTGATGTCACACTCGCCGATTCCCTTTCGGGTTCCAATCGAGCACTGGCCTGACGCGCGATGTCACCCAGCGGTCTCCTCAGCGAGTGTCCAATCCATCTCCACTTTCTCCTGCATATTTGTCTTGGCGATTGGTTCTTGTTTTGTTTGTTCCCATAGTTTCTTGTTGGTGATTCTTTCCGGCCATCTGATCTTCAGTATAGAGCCAGCGAAGACAGCTGTTGATAAAGGTCTGCAACAGGCTGTTGGAAATATTCTTTGTGACACACTGGCCAAGTTTCTGATCCATCCGTATAGAAGAATTGACTGACTTGACGTTTGTATTGAAAATCCGAATCACTTTGTTGTTGATGCAGGCTGAGTGACAGCGGAAGATTTCCAGATTGGTTTCAGATTGATGAATGTGTTTCTCGCCTTCCCGATTCTCGCTCGATTTGACATCCTCATCTGTTCCTCCTGTATTTGAGACAATGCTCCCTAGATAAGTGAGTGAATGAAGTAACCTCTTTCAAATCCCTCCCTTTGATGGTGATTGGCGTTGGATGTTGCTGCTGCTGTTGTTGTTGTTGTTGGTTGGTTATTTTCATAACCTCCATCTTGTCTATGTTCACCTGGAGTCCTGTCTTTGCTGCTTCTTCGACCAGTTTGTCGGTTTTCGCTTGTAAGTCTTCGGTTTTGTGTGACATCAAACACAAATCATCCACGCGCGAAATCCAGGTTTTCTAGGTTCTTCACGTCGGTCCAGGATATCCCTGTCTTCTCGTTTCCCACTGTCTGACGCATAATGTGATTGAAGTTTCTTGAATAAAACGTGACCAGTAGACAGTAAGGGTAACACCGAGATATTGTGGTATATAAATTCTAAGACTACTTAAGCTGTTAGAAAATCGTTAACAAACAATCAAAAATAAAATATGAACAAGATTAGTGTGAGTTGAGCTCTTTTATAGTTAGATATCATTCATGTGAAGCATGACATTTAATAAGTGATAATGTAACCAAGTTAATATGAAAAATCAATATCTACATTGAATAAAAGATGACATAATCAAATAAGGTCAAAAGTCGAGTTACTAAGGAAGAGAAGGACTTGCTACAACTTTTTTTCGAATGCACAAGTCATGTTTTCATCATTTGACAGCAATGACCTCTGAGAACTTTGGAAGAATGAAGGAAAAAGTTTTCTGATGAGTGACTTGATATGATTATGAGTGGCAATAATTTGTGCTCGAAACGTGGTCATCAGTTAATATTACTGTGTAACACTGTGTGACTTATCAAAATAAAATCTTATCCATAATGGAGTTATACTCTACCACTTCAGTGCCCAATTTTTTTACTTATATTAACTTTGGAAGGTTTCAGTTTGACTGTTTGTTCATTATTTTGAAAGAATTCAAACTGTCTCTCTGATGTTCTATGTCAGCCAGACTGTATTGCTCAAAGCTTTACTTCCTCTCAATCACAGACTTTGAGGTATGTGCTTAGAAAATCTAAGATAAAACCTTCTTTCTGTCCTTCTGATGTCTCAGTTTTGGCGGCAAGGCATAAATTGATACACACACTCACAGTTGGAGTTAACAAAGAAAGGGTATCTGTTCACTTTTGAATGAACTGCAAAAACACACTGTTTTGACACACAGGAGTCAGTTTTGGGCACAGGGAATGTTCTAGCCATTAATGTTTTTAAACCTTTTGTAGCCTAACTCTCAGGTACTGTCATCTTCAAATTATAGACGGATGCATACAAGATTCTTATTCTTATTGTGGTATTTTGTATTCTCTTACTAGCAGTTTTCTCAAATCTGTTGATAAATTTTCATGTATATCTAACTAAATGAGTTTAATAGGTTCCCAGGCCGTAGGTGTTACGGACTTCCTGAAATAATTTGAGCGCCGAGTCAGATTGATTCATTATAAATTATTTAAATTAATCCCAGCGTGTTAAGAAAATCAAAACAAGATTTTTCTGAACGTTTCGCTGTGTAAGCCACAGCTTCTTCAGCAGATTTATTCGGGTTTTTATTAGTCATCAAAATATATATAGTCAAAATTTTTACATAAATTGAAGTCAGTTCATTTGAAGGTCATTTGTCTATGGACATTTTTACCAATAGAAATATGTAAGCAGTCATCACATATATTTGTAATGACTAATGTCAAGTTGTTGTTGTGTTCACTCTTCTATAGTTGATTTGTACAGATTAGTTCTGTATGAGTGTGTGTGTGTATGTATGATATTTGTCATGTAGAAATTACGTGAATTCATATATGATAAACAAGATACTACATGTTTTAAAAGGTCACGGAGGACCACAGAGTGTTAATTGTTTTTTCATCTTTCTTGCTTCATAAGAGTTTGCCATATAGGTGATAAGTCTATCCCTTCTTTCCTATTCACTGCATTCGATGTGGTTAAGATGTGCAAGGCTTCAGAAGTCAATCTTTCTTTATGTGAATGAAATCCTCTTCCAAGAATTTCGACATTGTCGAAATCAATCTTATGTCCACTATCTATCGCATGCATAGCCGATCTTTTTTCTAGACTTTTTAGTTCTACTTCATTTCTAGGTGGTCGTTTCGTGCATAGTCTATGTTCATTCACTCTGACCTTCACCTGCCTACTGCTCTCCCCTATATAGCATGCATCACATTCTAAACACATTATCTTGTATACACAATTACTTCGTGACATTTTGGGAACTGTATCTTTGACATGCACCAGCGCTTTCTCAAGAGAATTAGAAGGTTTGATATAGACTTTAATATTATGTGAGGCAGATAGTCTTTGAAGTTGTTCAGCTGTGTCCTTTCGGTACGTGATGGCTATTGTCGATAGCCAGGATTTTTCAATTTTTTGTTTTCCCTTATCCGAATATATCTACTGAAGAAGCTGTGGCTTACACAACGAAACATTCAGAAAAATTTTGTTTTGATTTTCTTAACACGCTGGGATTAATTTAAATAATTTATAATAAATGAGTTTAACTCAGAATATATGCTTTTCATACCTCATTCTGTTAGTTGGTCATTTCCTAATCACTTACATGATCTAATAATTTGTGCACTTCAATGTCTTGTTTCCACCCTCGCAGCCCGAGTGTTTGTGTCTTACTCAGAAAAACTTTGATACAAACAGAGAAGTAATCTTATATTTTATTATTATTATAATATTATTATTCCCTTGGGTTCCAAGTGGAACATAGGGCTTCAACAATACATCTCCACTTTCTTCTATTTTCTCCCATCCTCTTCAGCTGGATAACTCCACGATTGACCATAATCTCTCATCTCCTCCTCGCCACACGATCTTTTCCATGTCACATTCGTACCGATGACCTACTCGTTGCCTCGCATTTGGATTTGACTCGATTGATGGCCTGCATTGAGCGCGATGTCATTTGATGGCCTCCTCAACGTATGCTCGATCCATCCATCTCCATTTAATCTTACAAATTTGTTGAGTGATCGGTTCTTGTCTGTTGGTTTGTTCCCAGTCAGAACTAATTCTTTCTGGCCATTTGATCTTCAGTATGGGCCCAGCCAGCGAAGAGGGCAGCAGTTGTCAAAAGTCTAGAACCTACTGAAAATCCTTTACGTGACAGGCTGGCCAGCTTTCTGATCCGTACAGAAGGACCGACTTGACATTGGTGTTGAAAATGCGAATCTTGTTGTTTATGCTGACACCATTGCAGGGGACTTCCAAACTGGTGAAGGCATATCTTGTCTTTCCTATTCTGGCTGCCTTTGTCGTCTTCATCCGTTCCTCTGGTTGTAGTTGAAACGATGCTTCCTAAATAAGTGAAGGAGCTAACCTCTGTTAAATCTCTCCTGTTGATGGTGATTGGTGCTGGTTGTTGTTACTGTTGCTGTTAGTTGATTATCTTCATCACCTCCGTCTTCTCTAGGCTCACCTGGAGTCGTGCCTTTGCTGCCTACCTCTTCTGCCATTTTGTTGATTTTCTCCTGCAAGTCTTCGAGTTTGTGTGACATTAGACATATATCATCTGCTAAATTCAGATCTTCTAGATTCTTATTGATGGTCCAGCGTACGCCTATCTCCTTGTTACCAATGCACAGTCCAAAGCATAATCCAGTTCACCAAAATCAAGTATATCATCAATGTCTTACTCCTGTATGCACTAACTTGGTATTTCGATTCATCTACACATACCATGATTATTCTTGATTACTGTTATTCCACATTGTACCTCCTATGAACTAAAGTGTATTAAAATTGTTATAATAAAAGTATAAGCTTCTTTCACCCAGAGAAGCCTATAAACTGAAGAGAGAAGTAAGATGAGACTATCCACTATCATCGTCGACAGTACTTATTGTGGTGGACTGGGTTGTGCAACAGACCTTGGGGACGA